AATCAGAGCTTGTGACTGCTTATAACTGTGGCCCCAAAGGGGTAAACAGGGTATATGTGGCAATGAAACAGTTTTGACTGCTATGTTCATGTTCACTACAATTCTATTGGTAGACTCTTCCAGCCTCACTTTAAGCTTACTTAATCAAAGCTTGTGACTGCTTATGCCGTGGCCCGAGAGGGGTGAGCAGGCTATTTCTGTGGCCGTGAAACCGTTTTTAATGTTAGGCATACTGTTCATTGTTGATTATGAACGTCTTTTTACATCTAATTTATGAGGTTTACGTTGATGGGTGAATTTGACAGCGACACTGTTTCAAAATTTGGAAGGGAAGCAGTGATTATTTGATTATATAGACGCTTCGCCACTGTTTCTGATGGACATTAATACACCTCATGGACCATTATATTTCTTTGTTATTCATACGATGAATCCTTCTCTCTGTTGAGGCAATTTGTGAGGACAATTCAAATAGTCGTCCAGAGATGAATGTCATCAATGAATCACTGGCCTTGACATCGTATTTCAATATATAGTAGCTACTGAACTAACCGTGAATAGACTTGTACTTCTATATCACGCACTGTCATGGCATCCGTTATTCTTACAATAAAGAAACGTTGCTTGGAAGCTTTCACATAATGCGCTGCGCCATAACGCCCAAATGAAGGGGATAGCAGACAGAGCCCAGAACTTGACCACTTGAAAAATTAAAATGATGGTGAAATGGTAAAGGTTTCACCCCTCTATCAACACTATAGATTATTTAAAAGGCGGGAACTCCGAAGTAAACGCCCATCTCCTGAAGGACTGAGCCAAATGGAGAATTTATGTAAAGTGCCTTTCATAAGAACACAATTACGGACTGAGCAGCTGAGACTTGAACCCCGAACCCTCAATATCACGATTGCAGGACCGGTAGCCTGATACGGGGTGCCCATTGGCGGTCGGGTCGGGTCGGGTTGGGTTGGTTTGCCAGCCAGATTGAGGTCGCAAAGCGGCTATCGGGGCAATCGACCTGACCCGGCTCGATTCCATCCGCAATGGGCAGCTCATATTATCGCTATAGACTGCCAATGCCACTTTCCGACTAGCTATTCATCTGCCCAGACTGAGTCAAATAGAGTGCTCCACAGAGAACTGGAACTACGCCAAAGTGCACCACTCAGGATATTATATGCATAACACAAGTCCATGGCTTGATATAATTTTATTGTGAGCCTGAGATCACTGTCCACCCGGTCACTACAGCTCTATTAGGGAGACCCCCCCCCAAACATCCCCGTCCCTCCCCCTCATACGAAACGTCATTCTTAATGTGTGTTGCTTTTAGTTATTCCGTGGTTTAACTTAGAACAGAGAATAAAAGGATTTAACCACCTGTTACGAATGTCACCTAACCAGTCAGCCTCGAGAGCCTATAACACCAAGTAGGCCTACTCAGGCTGTAAAGATAGACCACGCAAAGGATGGCTTGAAGTAGTCAAGGAAACCCAGAGATATTATAATATCCCAATTGAAAGAGCTACAGAGCTGACCTACGAGAGACAACTGCTTCTCTCCTCAACACTTAACGGCATCAGAGGATGAAAAGGTAAAAGAAAAAAAGTACATGTAAAAGTAAAATAGGTGAACTATAGGATACTGCCACTAACGAGGATCCAGACCTGGCTGGCTGTCGTAAGTTAGTTATCGTATATTATATTTGAGGCGGGACCTACAAATTTAACGTCCATTTTCCGTAGGGCCAAGTCAAATGGGCGGATAGCCTTGAAAAACTTCTGCCAAAAGCCCAAAATCAAAACATGTTGGAAATTAAAATCAGGGCCTTCCGCTTCGTAGTCCAGCACGATGCCAATTGAGCCAAACGGAAAGCCCCCCCTCCCCCCCCAAACCCCGCCTGTCGTCACTCTACGCACGCACTCGACACCTATTGGACAAGTTTCAAACAGATGTCAGGTAAACAGCGGGATCTTGTGAAGCAAAGGGTTTGAACTGGGGCCAACAGGTACTGGCTTGGTTGCCACATCGTGTTGACCATCGGCAGATGTCCCGTCTAACACAACAGCTGACCCTTGACCTTGACCTTGACCTTCCACTTCCTTACTTTCACTTTTTTTCAGATCTTCTGCTTCCAAGTCAGCGGTCGTGTGAAATGACGTCATATCCTTTGGTGGTGTCTTGGATTCCTCGCTGAAGTTTGCTTTACTGCAAGCTATAGCCCTGGGTGATATACCAAACACGAGGTTGAGTTACAAGGGGAATTGATGGAAGGTCGGTACTTAATTTGGGATGTGAAATAGCATGGCGGTGGCTGACACCGGCAAGAAGAAGAAGAAGAAGAAGAAGAAGAAGAAGAAGAAGAAGAAGAGCAACAACAACAAGAAAATGAATATGATTATTATTGTTAATAA